GATAGAACCCTACAAAAGCCTCTCATGCATATGAAAAGACAACGCCTGCAACTGCCTATCACGATGTTCTTCAGCCACGCACCCAGACACCCACTGCCTACTCCTAGTGCTCCTTCAGCGGAAGACGACAACGACGCACCTGCTGAAGATACTGCACCACCTGAAGACTCCTACTGAGGTCGTGCCTTCAGAGGAGCAGTAGCCTTGCTCTTCTTTGCTGTGCAGTACATCTCTTCATCTTCATCATCGAACAAGTTGCACTATTTTCATAGGTTAGTGGTTGTGTGTAAGAACTGTGTGCGTGTGTGTGTAATTAAATGTACAATAATAACAATATATTTGTAATGTCTAATATGTCTTATTTTCTCTTATTTTGTCTAATATATTGGATAATATGAGTGTAATGGTGACGAAAGGGTGTTATTTCTTGTTTAGAGGGCTTTAATAATGTTAAATAAAACAAATTTAGAAGGTCGTAAACAGGTTTTCTATGCTCTAACTGTGAAAATATTTGATTTATAAATAAAGAATCCTACTTTGCGGAAAATTCCTTTATCGCGGTAGAGTCTGGAACTGATTAACTGTGATAAATGAGGGCCAACTGCATTGTATAAATCTGATTTTTTAAGTCATGGCCTCAGCCTGGATATCAGAACTTACCCTCTTCTCCCAACTTAACTCACTAAAATCCCAAGACTTATTATTTTGTTTCCTACAGTCATCTTTGTTATAAAGGGAACTCTGTTTCTAAGGTAGAAATTAATTAGTCACGTCACATTTTAAGTTTCTCACTCGTTCTGTGAAGGCACCATTACTATGTCCAGGGAAGATGCTGTCAGGCAGACCCCTTAACCTCTACAGGCTATATAACAGCGGGAAACTGTCTCCCAAATAACGTGCTTTGGTTCAATGTCAGAGATAATACCAGGCTGGCTAGAATAAGGACTTCATATGTAGTTTCCCATATTACTTATGATCTCAACATTCTAGATTATGAAGTATCGGGCTACTTTTTATCAGTTTTGATGATCTGCAGAGGCTTGAAATAAAGATCAGAATGTGTATAGTTAGCATACTTTAAAATGTCCGTTTCTGTCCATTCATCATGAACTCTTTGTTTAAGTATTTCCTCTTTCAGGAAATCCTTCTCTTTTAAGTTTCCAAGTAATTATTTCACTTTCTGTGATTTTAGTCTGATACTTTTGCCATATTAGAATAATAGAGTAATATTTTATTATTGAACTACATTCTTTTCCATGTCCTCTCTTCACCACAACCGCTCCCACATGCCACTACTTCAGCGGTAGCTGGAGTTTTCTATATATCCTGCCGGTAGTTGTAGAAGGCATGGCTTTTGATTATAAAAGCCAGGAAACTGAGAAAGAATGGCTTCTTGTTTTGTTATTTAGAAGGAGGGGAGTTAATTTTTTGTCTTGTTTTGGGGGGTAGTGGGGTTTGTTTTTGTTTAATTTCTAAAAAACTGGGCCTTTTGTATCAGAAGCCAAATCCTGGTGGACCTGGAGCACAGACTTTATGCAATAAAGTCAACGCGATGACAGGAGTTGCAACATTACTCCTCAAATAAAATAAAAGTTTAACTAGAGTAGAAAAGGGAGGATCAGAGTGGCTGTGACCAGCTTACATGAACTGGAAGGTCCCTGAGAAAAAGGCTTCATCCTCCAGGCCATGGACTGATTCCTGGGAGCAAGGAAGCAACAAGACTATAGAAACTTCCATAAAAACCTTAGGAAAGTTAGCGGGAGATCCCAGAGCAGAAGGAACAGTGCCCACCTTCTCAGATTGTTGTTCGTAATGGTACGAACTTATGGGGAAGCCACATTGATCTGAAAGCAATAGATAAAGAAAATAAGTAAGGTGGGCAGTTTGTTAGGACCAGGGAAGTCCCTCCAAGTCCCACTCTGCATTCCCAGGCTTCCTGAGAAGTGTGCAGAGTGGTTGAGAACCAGCCAGCAGCTCCAGGGGATGCAAAGTGAAAGGAGTGGTTGTGACAATCTGATGCCTCAGCGGAACCAAAATTAACTCAAACGAAGTACGGCTGTAAAGGCTGAAGTCCGAGGGCCAGGTAGAGAGCACCACACCTCTGCAGGGGCTGGCCAGGCTACAGAACTGCTCTACAAAATGGCATAAACTAGGTGGCTTATAAACAACAGAAATGTTATCTCTCACAGTTCTAGAGGCTGGGAAGTCCGAGACCAAGGTGCCAGCAGATTCAGTGTCTAGTGAGGAAGTGTTTCCTGGTAGAGAGGCGTCTGTCTTCTAGCTGTGTCCACTCATGGTAGAGGGGTGGGAGGGCTCTCTGGGGTCTCTTTTAAAAGCACACCAATTCCACTCCTGAGGGTTCCATCCTCATGATCTAATCACCTCCCAGGGACCCCACCTCCTAATACCATCACACTGGGGATTCGATTTCAATTAGAATGTTGTGGAGACACAGACATTCAGTCTATAGCAATCCCCCAGGAACCTGGGCCACCTCTGAGCAAAAGGGCAGAGAATTCTGAAAGAGATGGAGACTTAAACCAAAGCAAACTACATTACATTGAATCGGAAAGACTGAGTTTTCCATTACCCAGTAAAAGTAGAGGCTTGTGATTTGTAGTAGTTTTAATTTAATGAAATAAGTTTATACTTGTTCAAGTATATATTTACACTTTCCAATTCCTTGCTCTATAAAAATGAAAACCTAATGCATTAACATCATTTATTCATTCAACCAAAAATTAAATGTCTTTTCCAAGCACTATACTAAAAGCTAGAACTATAAAGGTAAATAAGCTGTCTTTAAGAAATGTATGGGTATGTGCAAGAGACCTTATAGTTACATGTGATAAATACCACTGTAAAGGTATATGTATTTGTTTCCTGCAGCTGCTGTAACAAATTACCACAAAGTTGGTGACTTAATACAACAGGAATTTATTCTCTCACAGTTCTGGAGGCCAGAAATCTGAAATCTAAATTGTGGTGAAAATAATATTTACTAAATTAAAATCCATGGAGCACCCATATGTAATTCACACATAATATATAAATCAGCCCAAAATAAGCTTTAATAATCTGCCAATCAAAATGGAGTGATTTTTACATATTTTATATAAATATGCATAATCAAATATTTAAACTAGGAAATTATTGTGATGAAGATGCTGCTAAATAAAAACAGTATTTCAGCAAAAGCACTCTAGTTTCTCTCTCTATCTGTTATCAACTGGATTTTTAAATGCTTGATTCTTTAAATAAATTACTTTTTAAATCAACCTAAGCAGCTGACAGTAGTATTAGTTTTTTAATTTTTTCATTTCAGTCTACATGCAATATTATTCTGTATTAGTTTCAAATGTATAGCAAAGTGGCTAGAAAATCATGTACTTGACAAAATGTTTCTCCTGATGCTTCTAGTACCACCCTACCTTGTACATAGTCATCACGATATTACTGACTATATCCCCTATAATGTAATCTACATCTCTGTGACTATTCTGTAACTACCAATCTGTACTCTTTAACTCCTTCACCTTTTTCACCCAGCCCCCCAAGTCCCCTCCCCTCTGAAAATTGCCAGTCTGTTCTCTATAGCTAAGAGTCTGTTTTTATTTTGTTTGTTTATTTTGTTCTTTAGAGTCCACATGTAAGTGAAATCATATGGTATTTGTCTTTGTAACCTTTTTTTTATTTATTTTTTTTATTTTTTTATCCTCACCCGAGGACATTTTTCTATTTTTTGTTCAGGTAGAGTGGGAGGGAGAGAGAGGAACAGAGCGAGAGAGAGAAACATCGATGTGAAAGGAACACATCGAGTGGCTGCCACCCGCACAACCCACCAGGGCCGGGGACAAACTGCAACCGAGGTACATGCCCTTAGCGGGAATATTTAAACAAGGCATTCAACAAATGGAGGACCAAAAAACTTCAGCTTGTGAAAAGTTTTGGAGAGCAACGTTAATGAATACAAAGCTTATAAATAGAGAAGCAATGAAATGTATCCCTATGAAAGCAAGGAAGTGAAAATAATGTAACAATTATAGTTTAAATAGTATACAGGATTTACTTTTGAAATTCTATAATTGCACTTTGGAGTATCTTGGGGAAAAACTCTTGATGGAACTCCTATTTTAATTTAATAAATAGGCATTCCATTCCAGAATAGAATGGAACAGTCAAGAAGCCTATACTCTTATAACATTTAAATTTGGTGAACTGTTTTAAATACAAATAGACAGCTTGATGAGTTCCGTCTTACAAAACTACATGTCCAAGAAAGGTATACTAAGTTAAAGAAAAATATCTGGGATAAAAAATTTTCTCTCTCTCTTTTTTAATCCTCACCTGAGGATTTTTTCCCATTGATTCTTAGAGTGGAAGGGGGGGAAGGAAGAGGGGAGAGACTGAGAGAAATATCGATGTAGAGAGAGACATCAATTGATTGCCTCCCAAACGACCCTGACTGGGCAGGGATCAAACCTGCAACCCAGGCACCTGCTCTTGACGGGGACTCGAACCCATGACCCTTCCTTCCGCAGGCCCACGCTCTAACCGCTGAGCCAAACCAGCCAGGGCTCTCCTTTTAATACATAAAAAAAAGATTAAAAATATCACCCATTTAGCAGAATTTGGTCTGAGATTATTATTAAGTGCCTCAGTACCCAAAGAGAGAATATATTATCTTTAAAATAAGCTCCGAGTCAGCCGGGTGTGGCTCAGTGGTTGGGCGTGGACGGGCCCGATCCCCAGTGGGGGCATGCAGGAGCGGCCTCTCGCTCCCTCTCCCTTCCGCTCTCTCTAAGAAGCAATAAAGAAAAAACAATTTTTTTAAAATAAAATAAGGTAAAACAAGGTCCCAGAGCTTGGCGGGAAGGACCAGAGCGGGGCGGGGCAGGCCCGCTGGGCGGAGCCAGCGAGGGGCGGGGCGGCCTCTCCGCGCGGAGAACCGGAAGGTCAGACCCGCGGGCGGGGCGGGTCGAGGGCGGAGCGCGGAGGACATGGCGGACGTGCGGGCTGCGGACCCTGGCCTCCCTCGAGCCCGCAGCCGGGACGGTCAGGACAGCCCGGGCGGGGCGGGCGCGGCGGCCGGGGGGGCTCCGCGTGCCGCCCGGGCGCAGCAGGCCGCAGGGCCGGGCGGAGACGCCGCACTCAAGGCCGGAAGGCCGGGGAATCGCCTGCACAGATTCGCCCTCCGCGTGCCTTTCCCGTCCCCCGTGGAGGCAGACATCGCCCGCGGATCCCTGGCCCCGGACGCGGAGCCTCGCCGAGGGGCGGTGGGCAAGGAGCTCAGCGTGAGCGGCAGCGTGCTGGCGGTCAGCTGGAGAGCGGAAGACGCTCGCCTCCTCCGGACGTCCGTCACCGGCTTTCTCGACCAGCTGTCCCTGGTGGTGCGGACCATGCAGCGCTTCGGGCCCCCCCTATCCCGCTGAGCCTGGGCTGGGAACGGGAGCTGAGGCCCGGCCCTGTCTCCGCCCGGGCGCCGGGCCTTCCCCCGCCGTGGTTCCTGAGCAGTTGCCGCTTTAGAACGGACCCCTCCTCCTTTGCCGGTACTGGCCCATGGGCACTTGTCCACTTGTTTTGTTGGTGCTGAAGTATTTGTCACTGCAGCAAATAAAACTGAGCTACTAAAAATAAATAAACAAATTATGCCCTGGCCTGTGTGGCTCAGTTGGTTGAACATCCTCCTGTGCACGGAAAGGTGGCTGGTGCCCTTCGGCATCAGGGCACGTGGCCAGGTTGCAGGATCCCCGGTAGTGTCCAGTGGGGTGTCCTCTGGAAGGCACACTCAGAGGCAGCAAGTTTATGTTCCGCTCTCACATCTGTGTTTCTCTCCCTTTCCACTCTCTAGAAATAAAAAATAAACACTTTAAAAATAAATAAAATAGAGTCCTCAGAGAAAAATCAATTAAATCATTTTTCCCAATTTACATACCAATTTTGAATGTTATAACAATTAATGAAAATTTTAGAACATACTAAAAAAAATGCATTACTTAAAGGAGCAAGAGAGCAGAAGAAACAATCATAGATGTATAGACAGATCCAACTAAGAAACTAATTAAAATGCAATAATATGGTTCAAGAATAATTATAATACTTGTGTTATTTTTAACATTCAGATAATGTACCTGCTTTATTATTTTTAAGGGGACTTTTTAAAACAATTTTAATGGAATCATTTTATATGCCCAACATTGTTGATCAATAAGTAAATATTAAAACATCAGATTATTTTAATTCTTTTTAACAACTCTTCTTGTTCTCAAAAATAACTTGGTTGATGAATTCGATTCTTATTTGAGCTCAGCCAAAGTGAAGATTTTGTGGCAACATATGAGGGTGGAAAGGATGCCTTTTAGGCCATGCTGAGTTTTGATTATGTCCTAACAGTGCAGAGGACCAGACAGGGTGCAAGAGAAAATAGGTGGAGCCAGACAGGCAGGGTGTCAGGCTCCATCTCCACTTCATCCAGAGCAGCTCAGCTTGTTTGCCCACTGGATTTCCATATAAGCTCTAATTTGAAGAAACGGTTCTCTCGCTAAAAATAATCTTGAACACACTGCTGTGGGCAGTGTCAGGGATTTGCATTTTTAAAAGTAACTGGCAACAAGGAAGGATGGGAACTTGTGAAAAGTAAGCACTGGGATGTGAGGGTGAGCAGGTACATAGAGGACTTCCTTGGCTTCGACGAAAGACTAAAAGAGTCTTGTTTCAAAGCCCCGCGTGTGAGGATCTGCACACTGAAATATGATTAAAATTCCATGAAAAGTTCTGATTCTTTAGACAACCTAATCTGATTTCAGTTAGAGATCAACAAGAGCTCTATCATGTCATCTCTTCTCTTCTCTTCTCTTCTCTTCTCTTCTCTTCTCTTCTCTTCTCTTCTCTTCTCTTCTCTTCTCTTCTCTTCTCTTTTTTTTTCTTTTCTCTTTTTTCTTTCTCTTTTGTTGCAAAAAGCTTTATTGTTTCCATTTGGTCCAATGCAAGGGAGAGGGCTCCAGGGTGGTTAAAGGAATGGCTAGTGGTTTCTAGGAGAGGCTCAGGCAAAAGCCAGACACCAGGGGAATGCATAGGGACCCCTCAAAGGCCTCTGGGCTCCAAAGGCTCCTAGTCGTGCTTGAGGGTGAGCCTTTTGAAGAGATACTCGCCCAGCCCAGCCCAGCCTGGGGCCAGCCAGCCTGCGGAGGTTAGTCAGGTGGTCGCCCATCTTCCTGATGAGTTTCACCTCCTCCTCCAGGAAGTCGCAGAGACGAGGGTCTGCACGAGTAGAACCCAGGGCTTGCAGATCCAAAAGGTTTGGTTCAGGTTCTCCAAGGCCAAAGCGGCTTCCATGGCGTCCTGAGTTTTGCCCCATTCACCATGGGAAGGCTTCAGCACATCCTGGAAGATGTTTTTGCAGTGGCTCACGCCCTCCAGAGCCACATCGTCACCTCGAAATAGAAGCCCAGAGACAGGTAGCTGTAGGAGGCCCACAGATGCAGGTTGGCCAGGCGGTTGACCGCAGCCTCCGCTCGGTGGAATAGTTCTGACGAATTTGAGAGTTCATGGTTGTTCCGCAGTAAGGCCTTAAGGTCCGAAACGGTGTTGGCTGGTCTCGGAGGCTGAGGCTGTTCCGAAGGTGGTGCTTGGAAGAGAGGTTGGAAGGTGGTTAGAGGCTGGAAGAGGGGGCGTCCCTGGGTCTGTTCTGTCCAAACACTGTTGAAGCAAGAGACAGATCCGGGGTACACAGAGGGCACTGCCTGTTTCTTTTTTTGATGTAGCTGCCTGGATGCTCAGAATATTTGACTGTAGTAACTACTTTTTTTCCAGCTACTTGCAATACAAAATTTTCCTCCACTTGGTTTCCTTTTTTTTTTTTTTTGTACAGATAGAGTGGGAGGGAGAGAGAGGAAGGGAGAGAGAGACAGAAACATCGATGTGAAGGGACACATCGAGTGGCTGCCACCCGCACGACCAACCAGGGCCGGGGACAAACTGCAACCGAGGTACGTGCCCTTAGCGGGAACCGAACCCGGGTCTTTCCGGACCGCAGGCCGACGCTCTAACCGCTGAGCCAAACCGGCCAGGGCGGTTTCCTTTTTTTGTTTGTTTGTTTGCTTGCCTTTATTCCTAAATTGTCATTTTGAATATCTTTTGGAAATACTGAATCTAAGTCATAAACAATAATACAGTGATACCTCGGTTCTCGAACACCTCGGATTTCGACCAAATCGGTATTCGACCAGGAGATTCGAGAAACTTTTGTCTTGGAATCCGAACAAATATTTGGAACTCGAACTTCCGAGATGAGCCGAGTTGAGCCGAATGGCGTTCATTCGGCCCAGCGCGCCTTGCTTGCGGCATCAGTGTGAGTGCAGAGAGAGAGTCACGCTTTGTGGAGAGAGTCACGCTTTACACTGAATTTAACCCTTAGACATACTGTACACTTTTATTTCTTGTTGAGACTTATGTTTTTCTACATATTATATACAAATTAGGCCAGTAAATAGGCATTTTCTGGGGCTTGGAACGAATTAATCCAGTTTCCATTATTTCCTATTGGTTTCATTGCTTCGGTTCTCGAACAATTTGGTTCTCGACCGTCCTCCTGGAATGAATTATGTTCGAGAACCGAGGTATCACTGTATAATGATTGTTAACATTATGTAGGGCTTACATGTGCCAGACAATGTTCTAGACTTTTTGTATATATATCGACTCATTAATCCTCACCAAAACTAAATATGGAATCTCTTTGGCTTTGGAATTAGTGAATTTATTTATAAAACCTGGTGACATGAAATGACGTTTCTGTTTATCACCAGTATAAGCTTAACTAATCATTTCTGTGCTTAAAACCCATCAAGGCATTGAACTAGCCAATTTCAGAAAATAACTCCAATGAACTAAAAATCGAATCACTGGAAGTCACCTGTATAATTTTCAACTCTCATATATAAAATAAGTCTAAAAATAATGAAATACAACAAGGTTGTAGGGCGTTCCAATGAAAAATGATGTTGAAATTTTTAAATTGGTAAACAAATGTTATATTTAACAGCATATTTTTAAAATAAGTTATTCTGGAAGAGACAATGAATTCTTTATTATCTTACACCTCTCGTGTGTTTCATTGGCGAGTAATTCTTCACAATAAGTCCAGAATTTGAGCACTATTCAGCACCTCCACCCTGGTCCAGAGAACCATCATCTCACATGCGGACCGTTGCCATAGTCTTTAATGGGTATCCTGTTTCACATTCTCTCCCCCTCCATGGAGCAGTGATTATTTTTATTTTTTTAATTAATTAATTTATTTTTGTTACAGATGTTTCTCCTTTTCTCCCCACTGATATCCCCCCCGCCCCAGCCCTGTCCCCAGCTTTGTTGCCCATGGCCATTGTTCATGCACACATGCATATAAATTCTGTGGTTTATCTCTTCCCTCCCTCCACTACCCCCTCTTCTTGGGATTGTCAGTCTGTACCCCACTTCCACGTCTCTGGGACTACCCCATTCCTCAGACTGTTATGTTCATCATATTCCACAAATAAGTGAGATCATGTGATATTTGTCTTTCTCTGTTTGGCTTGTTTCGCTTAGAATAATACTTTTCAGGTCCCTCCATGTCGTCTCAAAGGATAAGAGATCTTTCTTTCTTACAGCTGCATAGTACTCCATTGTGTATATGCACCACTGCTTTTTTATCCATTCGTCTACTGATGGACACTTGGGCTGTTTCCAGATCTTAGCTATTGTGAATAGTGCTGCTACAAACATGGGGGTACATATATTCTTTCTGATTGGTGTTTCAGGCTTCTTAGGGTATATTCCCAAAACTGGGATCACTAGGTCAAATGGAAGTTCAATTTTTAATTTTTTGAGGTAACACCATATTGTTTTCCATAGTGGCTGTACCAGTCTGCATTCCCACCAGCAGTGTACTAGAGTCCCCTTTTCTCCACACCCTTGCCAACACTTGTTATTTGATGATTTGTTGAGGTGGTCATTCTGACAGGTGTGAGATGATACCTCATTGTTGTTTTAATTTGCATCTCTCTGATGATTAGTGATGTTGAGCATTTCTTCATGTCTCTTAGCCATTTGTATGTGCTGTTTGGAGAGGTGTCTATTTAGTTCCTCTGCCCATTTTTTAGTTGGGTTCTTTGTCTTCCTTTTGTTGAGTTGTATGAGCACTCTATATATATTGGAAATTAACCCCTTATCTGATGTATCATCATTGGCATGCTCTCCCATAGAGTGGGTTGCCTTTCCATTTTGGTGGTTGTTTATTTTGCTGTGCAGAAGCTTTTGAGTTTGATGTAGTCCCATGTGTTCATTTTCTCCTTTGTTTCTGTTGCCTTAGGTGATGTATCAGTGAAAATTCTGCTGCATATGATATCTGAAATTTTGTTGCCTACATTTTCTTCTAGGATTTTTATGGATTCATTAGTCACATTTAAATCTTTTATCCATTTTGAGTTTATTCTTGTGTATGGTGTAAGTTGATGGTCTAGTTTCATTTTTTTTAAAGACAGTGTAGATCATACCACACCTCTGCTTAAAACTCTCTAAGATAGGCAGAAAGAATGTTTACACCTCAAAGATGTCCTAATCCCTAGCAACGGTGAATAAATTTCTTTCCATGGAAAGGGGGTCTTTGCAGATGTGGTTAAATAAAGGATCTTGAGATTATTCTTGAAGAAGTTATCCTGATTTATCCAAGGGGAGATCACCCTTGACCTTCCAGATGTTATCACGAGGATCCTGAGAGGAGAGAGGCGGGAGTGCAAGGA